AGGAGAGAGAGGGAGGGAGTGGGAGTAGAGAGAGAGAGGGAGGGGGAGGGAGGGAGAGAGAGTGGGAGGAGAGAGAGAGTTTGAGGGAAGGGAAGGAAAGGGAAAGCAAAGGGAACCGATGAGCATAAGCTGATTTTGTATAAATTATTAGGTTGTTTCTTTGTTTTAGATCCTCCTGATCCAGTTAACACCTCATCAATAGTCAGTATTGTTAATTGCACTGGGGTATATTTATACTGGACTCCACCTGTCACTCCAACTGGATGTCATATTTTAAATTATACACTAAAGTGGGATGACATTGCTGTTGAGACTGAAGAACCATTCCATTACTGGCTCGCAGATGAATTACCTTCTAATGAAACACTCACTGTTAGTATTGAAGCAGTTAATGTGATTGGTCCTAGTGAAGTGACTTCTATTAACATTAGTATTGCCGTAGGTAAGTAAAGGAATGTACATATACATACATGTATATTGCATGACCAAATGCTTCTCTACACACTTTAAAAGTTCTAATGATTCATCTTTCTTTAATCTTTACTATATAGAACCTGTTGTTAATATTGTCAACCACAGTGTAATCATATTATCTTCAGCAGCTCAACTAATTGTAAATGCTGAGGTAAGATCCATTACTGTGTTTACAGTTTATTAAAATTATTCTTCTACTTTGCCAGTTGGATTCTGAGTACTGCCCTTTCTCCTCTCCAAGTCTCCTTCATATTTGTACGACCTGTAATGATAGTACTAGCCCATTCTGTTCATACATTAATCTCACTATATACAATGATGTGATGATTACTATTAGTACCTCACTTCCTCTTGATCTCCGTCAATGTGTATCCACCCTTATCTGGTCTAACGTTCACTTGTCATTCATCAGTTATATCAATGATACTTTCAGTGAGTTTTGGTGCAATATTTATCAGTATCTTAAGACCTTTTGAATTAATTTGACCTTATTATTTTCATTATTAATTATACAGGCACATCTCCAGTTCACAGTGTATTTATTCCTGCTAGCAGTTCTACTGGTTATTTTAGAGTCAATTGTACTTTATTGCCAGGTGGAAGTGGGTGCGTCATTAAAGTTTTTAACTCATCTGGTTTCTTCATTTTTATGGAAGTTTTAACTCTAAATGACACTGTCACAGTTTCTGATGATGACTATACAGTGGTTTCAAAGACCACAACTCATCGATTAACAGCTAATGGAACATATATTGTACATGTATACTCGCTTAAAGATAGTGACATTGTAGGTGGTGTAGTCATTGCTAGTAGCATCATTGAAGTGATACTGCCATCACCCTCACCATCACTTGTCAGTACATCCTCACCATCACATACACTCCCACCCTCCCTCTCACCCTCACTCTTATCATCACCATCACAATCAGTTACATCATCTCCATCACCATCCTGTAAGCTTTATTATATATGGATACTTCATGATTTTTATTATAGGTTTCACTGACTGTTCAGATTCTAATTCACTAGGTGCAATCATTGGTGGTGTTTTTGGTGGTATTATTGGTATTATTCTTATTGTTTGTTTTATTTTTTGTGTTGTTTGTTTGGCAAAGCATTACAATTGTCAGCGATGTGGGCAATATGAAGTGGAACGAAGGCCACAAAATGATACCGAGACATTGGAGCTGGATACCATTAAAAATGGAACATTTAAAAGATCTCAACATGAATCAACTCGTGCTGCCGGTGAAGCTAAATCCTCTGAAAGACCACTACTTAATGGAGTAAGCACATACTATCTAGTGTTGTAACATGTTTTTGCAGAGTCAGAGTGCAACTGACACAGGTCCAGGAGATGATGTTAAATCTCCAACTTCAGATGTCAATCCTACCATTCTGGAAGAGCAATATCAAACAGATGCACACCTTAGTGCAGGCACTGTCAGTATTTTGACTTCATTCTTTTTTTATCAATATTATTCATTATAGGGTGATTTACAAGCATCAGCTCCTGTTATGAAAGAAGTAACAACGAAAGCATCAAGTGATGATGATGACAAGAGAGAATACACACTTGATAAAAGAGAACATGAGTAGGCATTATAACTTTTGTGTACTTTATTTGTTATTTTTGTTTAGCCCTAGACCCCAAATTACAGAAAGGAAAATACAAGAAAGTCAAGCAGTTGATCATAATATTGAAGTTAATCCAATGTAATGATATATTTTGTTTGAACTCTTCACTTGTTTTTATAATTATTTTTAAAGTAAACACAAACCTGCCCTTAGTACAGTACAGTATTACATGTATGTG